GTGAAAGGGAAGTTTCTTGTGGCACTGGCTAGTTTATTCTGTTCAAAGTGGGTAATTGAGGCTTTTTTTCTGATTTGGCTATTATTCTGACTATAAGTAGAATAAAACAGACTCCATTGTTGCCCTCCTGCGAGTCTTTCCCCTCACCTTTGACCCTCAGCTCTCCTCTTCTCCTCGCCCTATTCACTTCTCCTGGCCTCCCATTTTCCCCCCACACAACCACGCATCGTAGATGGACTTCCTATAGGAAACTCCGGGGCGCCATGAGGGAGAATCTCCAGAGAGAAAGTCAAACAATGACACACAGGGACTTCTCCTCTTGACTCCAGCCCAAGTTAGGCAATGAAGCCTGGAGACTTGCGAATGAGATGAGGGTGGGTCAGCACGACAGGTTGGGACAAAAATAAAAAATAAGTGCTGGGTTGGTGTGGGAAATGTGTGAGTCTGTGTATGTGTCCACAGACGACAAATATGCTCAAAGTTATCCTTTAATACTTGCGTAGGTGGATTTCAGGGCAGTCTCTTTGTCTCTGAGGGTGAGAGGTTTCCAGCGTCTACAGCCTCTCAAAATCCCAAGTACAGTGAGCATAAACACTGAGTCACTCGAAAACAATCAGAAGCCATTATACCCTTTACATGATAATGTAATGGAGCGCTTTTTGTATTGATGCATAACAAGCCTCTCTTTTCAGACTAGTCCCCTACACAACCCACAAAACTTGGAGAACTTTAGGGTTAAGAACCGTGTTGGCACTGCATGTAGGTGGGACAAACTTTTGTGTGTGCGATTACAGAAGCAGAAGTCCAACCTATTGAACTCTGGGCAGTGGCCTCATTTCATTGGCAGCGACTCAATCATAACATCTTATCTACGGACATGCTGAGTCATGGAATTCAGCTGTGGCCAATAGCCAAGCAGCAGGGTTACTTATGGCTGTCATTGATTGGTCGATCCCTGAGCACAAAGCTGAAAGGGCACATACCAGGAACACAGCCTGAAGCAGAAACTGGCAGCAGTTTGCTCGCGTTTTACTTTACTCTCTCATTCTTGTAGGTTTTTTTTTTTTTCCTCCAACTGACTACCTACTTTGTTGTGTCACTCTCTCACTGTTCCTAGTTCTAGTTTCTCCCAGTTCTCCCCTCATGTTCCCTCTCTACAGCCTTTCCAAATTACCATAGCCCATTACCCTTGTCCCTCTGTTGTGTAATTGTATCTGGAATAGCAAAGCAGGGCCGCTCACATCCAGAGGTCACCATTCCTCTGTGGCTTACATCCTGGTCCTTTATCTCCATGGTCACCGTGCTTCCAAACAGTGTCAGTGCCTTTGACAAAGAAATGAATGTGAAAGCTAGTTTAAAACTATCTCAACAGAGCCCTACAGTGACCATTCAAACCATTAATCATATCTAAAGCCATTATTTTCACTAGCCTTATACATTAATAATGCATTTGTATTGGAAAAGCAATACCATAATAAGGTGGGATCGGGATATAGGGCAAATGCAATCTTTGTTAATGATTGATTTCATAGGTGACCCATTTGTTATTAAGGGCTAATGCCCTCAAACATACACTACGTACAGCCAGCGTTGCTGATTTGGGGTCAGCTCCCTCATACATAATTCGGTCATTCAGGATACAGAGTTAAACTGGCTCTAAAACAGAATAGGGGCACACTACAGAGGCCTTTATATCAATCTGTCCCCATCTGCAAATCTGTAATGAGCAAGGGAGCTGAAACAGTGGGGAGAGAAGAGAACCTCAGTTCAACTGAGGCAGGCACACTTTCTAATGGAAATTCAGATACAATCATCCCAGAATGCACTTCTCTCTGCCTAATAATCGGCCACTAGAACAAGGCAGCCATTGAGAGGAGAGTGACTGTAATCTGGTCCACCAAACTCCAAAGCTGCCCGCTATAATTAGCTCCTTTCTCCATCAAACACAGGCTTACACTGACTCACAAGCAAACCTCTCCTGTATTACAAGAGAGAGAAGCAATTTAGCGATTTTCAGATGAGCAGGGAAATTTTCCATCCTCGGCATATGGAATCACCCTGCGTTGACAGGTATGCTCGCTGTGAAATCTACAAATGAGCAGGTGAGAGTCCACTGTTTCATTCAGTGACACAGTGGTTTGTGGTTTGTGGGCTGACATGGAAATAATATGGTATGGTGCAAGTTTTCAAAGTGAGTGGTACAAGCCAGAAACACACTGTTCCTTTATTAAAATAACTTGCTCACAGCTGGGTTTACTGATTTAGGGCATGTTTCAGACTAAAAAACTCAACTACTTACCAATTACCTTTCTCATTTGATTACTGGTCCAGGACTCAGAATTAGATATGATATGAGGAATATCAGATATCCCTCCGCTGTTTCTTTTACAAAGCACATCAAACCCTGTGTTTATCTGTCCACATAATATGGGACAGATTCTCACTTCCAGTGTCCTCATCATAGGATGTATCTGCATCTCTGACCTACATCCTGACGAGCAAAGCCTGCCTTCCTCTAATCCCACGAACACGTTCTAGCCCTGGGACTCACAACACGATCCGCAGCCCAGAGGCAGGCAGGCAGACAGACAGGGGTGAGTGGGTATGCTGGTAGCTAGCCTGCTGCCTGGGCAAATGGCACGGCTATTAGGGGAAGAAGAGGGTTCCTGGGGAGGTGTGACTGCACTGCAAAGGGCCCAATCAAGCAGAGAACAGAAGTGCTGACAGATGCTAATGCATTTACCTGAGAGCAAAGAGACTGTCTTACCAAGAAAGAGTCTGTACGTGTGTGTGTGTGTGTGTGTGTGTGTGTGTGTGTGTGTGTGTGTGTGTGTGTGTGTGTGTGTTTACTTCCTCCTTCGCATGGTCCTCCCAATAAGGTTGATTAAGATCAAAGGGAGAGAAACTCATCATAAAGTACTCAGCCATCAGCCAGAGCATCACCAACAAATGCAGGGTTATGAGTCAATTCAGGTCCTGTTCACACCATGCAATCAACATGCATCTTGGGCGATCCAATCACAAGTGGACTGACGCATTGAGGACCCAATGAGATCCGATTGCTCAGACCACATTTGGACGTGGTCAAGGCCGCATATGGCTACATTCTTTTAGCAGTGTGTACGTGAATGTGTCCTAGGCCACATTGAAGGACCACCTACTCAACTGACGCCCTCTGCATGAGTGGAATACGTATTCATTCATGTGCCAATGGTGTGATATTAAAGTGCAACAAAAGGGAACTTTTTTTTTTTATTTATTCAAAAATCCCATAGAGATGTATTATGAGTGTGTCTTGGGCGATTTGGTTTGACAGGAACATGTAAAGGAATAGACGCAGTCTGTATTGTTTTGATTTCTTCTTCTTTTTTAATTTCCAACAGACTATGACACAGGAAGTGCATTGCTGCCTGCCGCCGGTTAAATACCACAACGCATTTGGTCTTTGCAAATGAAATTAATGTAAGTGTTTAGAGCGGGGAAGTGAGATCGGATCACAAGTGGTCACTCGAGACGCACGCAGAGACGCATTCTGATTCCAGATGTGAACTGACGTACTTAGAGCTGTACACTTGTGATCACATCACCCAAGACACATGTTAATGCCCAGTGTGAACAGGGCCTTATTTGCTTGAAAAAGCATGAGCTTGCTTGAAAAGACAAGTTCCTCTCTCTTCTTTTTGACAGTGACACAGCAGTATCCTCTTGCTACGCAATTCTGTGTTAAGGCCATATCACAAATCTACACAGACATTCACCCACTTATCTCACCCTCTGAAATCTTTCACGCTCAATCTTAAATCAATATTTCAGAGTCAGGTGGAAATATCACTTCTGAATTAAAGTACTGAAGTCTAGTGGAAGGACACTGACAAAAAGGGAGTGGCTGACAGGGCAATGACCACTTTGCAGTAGCTGTGAGATTAAGCTGTAACACACTGGTGACTAGATCTGGCACAAAAACAGATTATTGGTTGTGTTAATTATTACCATCAGGTAAACCTAATCATCCTATCTGTGGTTCATCTTACAGCATAAAAGGGGTAGACAGGCAGCATCCAGAGATTCAAGGTACATATCCCTACCTGAGATATTTAATTGGTGGAGAAACAGCTAGGCAGCTAATCTAGAAAGATTTGAGTCATTTGTGTGACAGGTACAATTATATGAAAAGGGAACAGAACAGAGTTACCGGGCGTATACACATTAGGCAACTGTGTCACCAGGAAGCCCTGTACTGGCAGCTTTGATGTTTTCAAAGTTTAACATGAAAGAATGTCTTATATTATGACCTAAATCTGATAAGGGCCGAGAGTTGTTGCTATTAAAATGCTAATCATGCCAAATTAAAAACCCCAGGCTGTTACAATAATGGATTTAAAACTTTAAAGATAAACTAATTTATAATCCATTTAATTGTTATTTTTAACCAGGAGATGATCAGCACATTAATGAACGAACAAAACATGCAGACACAGCACCAAACAGTTGCTTGACAGTCCTATAGTCCAACACAAACATCCTATTTCCCCTTTAACAATGCAGTCCTGAAATTCAAGGTATACTGGGGAGTCTCTCTAGACCTGACAAGACCAATGCATTCCAGGTGTTGTTGTATAAACATATTTAATGTTTGGACAAGATCCATTTTTATGACCCATTTTATCCTCTGTAAACTTCCCATATTAACAAGCACAGGCTAACCCTAACCTACATTAGACTGCTTTATTTATTTATTTATTTATTTGTATCCACCCATGCATCATCATTAAAATAATCATTATTATTACTACTAAGGGTTTCAAATCCCACCAGCCCTCAAGGGGGGGACAGGGGTTGACTCCCAGTTTCTTGTTATTCGCAGCAATTTCTTCTCAACCCCAAGCTGCAATGTGGGGAGTAGTGAACGCCTTAAAAACAGCTTTTCAGCATTGTTTCGCTCTTCAAATTGTCCATTCACGTGTATTATTTGGTGTAAAGGGAGAGTATATTATACATACCATAGCATTCCTCCCTGTCCAGCTCGCGTCCACTCCTTTCTTTCTCCCTCTGCTCCTCTGCGACTCACAACCGGTGAAAGACTTTTTAAAAAACAGACAAAAACACTCCCTGCAAGCACTCACATCGATTATTTTCCGCCTCTTTTTCAGTAAACGGGCTGTCTGTCCATTGCTCCCCACGTTAAGTGCTCGTTTTCATCAGTCCGAAGTTTTCAGATGCACATCTCTCCTTTTCTCTCTCTCTCTATCTATCTATGTCTGAGAAGAGGGGGAACAAACAACTAAATTCTCGTCAAGAAAAGAAAAAAAATGCTGTTCAAACTCGTCTTTTCACCACGGCTGGAAACGAGGAGAAAAGGGGGAGGCGTTGGAAAGCGCTGTTTCGGTGTGTTTTTCCTTCTTGGTTCACCACCACGTTGTTTTGACCAATTATTATTTCCTTTGTTGTGTCAAAAATAAAAGAGTCCGTAGAGAAACGCGAACGCAATGTCCTGTCTTCATTTAGCAAAGCGCTGATTTTTAGTGTACAACAGCTCGTCGGTAACCGTTGTGTTTTCCTTTCTAATGTTAAGCCCCTTACAGGCTAAATGTGTGACGGTGTGTATAAGTCTATTTTTTTCAGCTTCCCAATAATGGCGGACCTTCTCCTGAATCCAGCATCTCCCCTCCTATTACGAGAGAACAGAGAGAGAGAGTCTCTCCCAGCGGTTCATGGACACAATTACAACACACGCACGCTGTTTATGATACCGCTGTTCACTCCGCGGTAAGATGTAGCCCAACGGTGACTATTACGTAAAAAAAACGAGAATAACTCTTGTTAAATGTATTTTAAACAGCCCAAGAGAATATACATTATTCGAATTCATCTCCGAGTTGATTTTTTTCTTTACTTTTTGGTGGTTTGATATATTCATTCATACAAATTTATTGTAAAGTAAAATAAAAATAAGAGAAATGTGTTGAATACAAAAATGTGTAAAAAGATTAATTTGTAAAAAGAAAAAAAAAATCACACTAAATGTGAATTAAGACTGTACTTGAATAAATGGTATTTTAATGACAAATTTGCAATTTTCACTTTGTTTCAAAATTCTTTTATATAGAGTCAATGTAAGATGGATTGTTATTTTCATAAACTGAAATTTATGAAGTATTTTTTAATATATCAAAACAAACAACATAAACAATATTATTGCCAGGCACCAGTATAACAGTCACTGGAATTCAGGGACTTATACATTTATAATAAGTATACTCTACAACAACAAAAATGGGGGGTGGGAACTAAGGAGGAGGTAAAGGTGGGGGAGGCAAACCAACTGTATATTTCAGACATACTGTATATAGTAGCTATGTTTTCCACTTTTTCCACCTTAAAATAGATAATCTCTCAGTATTAGAGTCAGTCTTTACATCCGATGGATCTCAAAATATGATGCACTATCCTAGATTAAAGTACCCAACAGTGTTTAAAGTAGTTAAACTTCACCTCAACTTTACTACAACAGTAAAATACTGCTGGCATCATAAACAATAATAATCCAACAAAATTACAATCTGATAATGGCCATAATCTGTAATGAGTAAGGTGGGGTTTTTTCACGTCAAGCAATCTCTGAGATGGGTTTTCAGTTCACTCTCCTCAGAGCCCCTGTTAAGTTGTTTTTATTGGTGGTTGTTTGTCTTATGATGATCAACTGCAGATCTGAGTTTGCTTGCTTTTTATGTGCTACTACATCACTGATGTCAGGCCACCCTGGTCTGTTCTGTTGCAACATTGTTTCTGAGCTACAGAAAAATGTGTTCATGTCATCATTAGGGAATTTTATTTTTTTCTACTTTTTTACTTTTTTTAACTTTATTTTGGGCCATTTGTCCTCTTGGCCCCATGTCTTACACATCACTTCCTTTCACAAGTGATCTCCATTTCCCTGTAAAAGCGCCAACATTAGTCACTGACTAACAGATTTTAATGTTCCATGGCTGCATCACGTGTAATAGGTTTGTTGTGCGTTCACCTGAGGACTCCTACCTGAAACCTTATCGAGCAGCACAGAAGGAAAATATTTATTTACTGAGAAAATCAATCACCTCAAAGGTTAGTCCTAATTACACGGTATGCATAGTGCACTGAGTCACCCACTTGGTAAAAGAATTCCTGTGTCCTTTGATCATTTCAGCCACTCAGTGATGAAAAATTTAAGATCCTAAAGAAGATTTCATACTTATTTTGGTTTGTTTTTTCAGGAAGACAATGCAATTACTTCCACATACTTGGAGAAATGTTTGCAATGTTGTACAAGACAACTGCCTGTACTAACAGTTCAAACAGATGTTCAGTGTCTTGCACTGGGGCTTTCTCCTGGAATTCTTTTCTCTCTCCTCATTAGTCCACACATGAACTTCCTAGAACATGTAATTCCAATCTGGTAATCTAAACTCTGTGATATGATGGCTGTAAAAAAAATACAATTTATTGATTTGAAATGGAATTTGACACTTTAGTGGAAATTTAAAACTGAAACATCACACCCTAGAAACAATACAGACATCATGTCAGAAGCTTATCTTTTAAATTTCAACAAAAGTAAAGCTGTTACAGTATTCAGTATTCATGCATTTGAAAACCAAAACATAAGAAATAATGTGTAAATTTAAGATCTATTATTCCTACATGAGCTGTACAGTTATGATGTATAAAATGCACTATGTGTGCTTTGACAGTTTGAAATGTGACCCACCGTTAAACACACAGCCAGGCAGGGTTCAAGGTGCACTGCCCTCTGTTTGAATAAGTCCACAAGCTTCTGTCCAGTCACATTAGTCACTGTGTTCTCAGCAATATTTGCATGACCCCAATCATACAGCGCAAGATTAGAAGGGGTCAAAGTTTCTGTTGAATAATCTGCCTCTGTTTTACATCCCATTCTTCTACCACTGGGAAAGGCTCTATCATAAAAATTTTGTTCATTTATGACACCCACTGCTTATTTGTGCTATTTCATTTTCATATAAAGATTACCACTGGGTTGGACACACCATTATAAAAACACAGCTGCAAGCATTATGTAGAAGAAAAACTCGACACTTATCGTTATCACTGGTTTGTTTTCTCTTTCATTTTATTTCTTTTCCCGTCCCACCTAAACCCTCTCTGTATTTGCAGCTGAAATATTTCTGGGTCCCAAGGGCAAGCACATTCCTCCACTCACAGTTGTGCAATCCCTGACAATCACAGTTCCCCCATCCCCCTCTGACTCCCTAAACGCCCTGAACACTCAGAGAGGCGAGCTGTCCAAGCTGTCTGGGCAATGTTCTGCGGTGACTTGGCTGCCCAACCAGACCCGTAAACAAACTCTGAGCCCTGACTCTGCAGAAAACAACCACAAATAATGTAACCTCAAGAGGCTGGAAATGTATATTGCTACTTTTGCATTCTGTGTTTGAAAATAATTCTGAGGTGTGTCACAAATGTGGTACATGTAACCACACACACAATGAAACACAATTTTTAAGAAGTGACTAAAATAGGCCTACTATTTAAAAAAACGATTTATATTATATCGTTGATATGTTACATGTAAATACTGTTTGTTTCATGTAAGACATTTCAATGTTACTTGAGTTGGATAGTCTTATTTATTTATTTTAAGTAGTTAAGTTTTTTGTTTCGTTCAATTCAGTGATGTAAGGTGGTACACTATTTCATAAACGTTTGCCCTCGTTATCTATCTTCACAGTTAAATTCAGATTTAGTAACTACACGTCTACACACAGACTGCTACAGAAAATAGAAGTAACATCCCTTTTGCTCCTCATGTGATCCAAAGCAAAATACAGAGCAGAGGGACACTGGTTCTTGTAGTGCCATATTGTCTTCAATGTGTTCAAAATGTTACAACAAAAACTACAGCCCCCATCATGCACCGCAATTTATCGTCAGTTTGCTCTTCCTGTTAGCTCTGTGAAGATAGCGGACGAGCGGTCGAAAAAATTACCGATGTGTTTATAAAAAATCGCAGCATAATTGTTCAGGAACGTGCTATTGTGGAGTTTCTAAGGTCCATATTTAGGAGACGAAAATGGTAAATATGTCACAGATGAATACTGCTCTATTTTCTTCTCATAACAGTTGCATGTTAGCGCTAAATAACCACTTCATTCAGTCAGTAGGAAACGGTAACTGAAGCTAGTTAGTTAGCTAACTAGCACGCTAAGGCCACAGACTTAAAGTCACAATGTTTTACCACAGAGACTAACCACCACTTAGCTGAAATACATCACATGTCAATCATTTTTACCCTCTCTAATGTCTAGCTCAATCATGCTGTCAAAATAAATGGGTGTGGTTAAGCTAACACTAGCTTTCACGTTTGCTAAAGCTAATGCTAATCAGTAGTTACTTACAATGAAATAACTGCAGTTTAATGAGAGGCTCCTCGATGTCCATTAATTGGGTTGCTAGATATTAACAACTTATAACGGTAACTATATAATAAACGGATGATAGCTAGTTGCCAACAGTGTAACGTTAGATTGTCGTGTCTGGTCATTGAATTCTCTACTTTTAATTCAGAGGTGCAGGAGGTAGCTATTCTAATCTTTTAGTTAAGTAATATTACAAATACCAAATGCCTCAGCATATTCTATTCCACGTTAAAGTAGTGCGTTCAAAATCCCATGTAAAATTGTGAAATTATAATCAGGAAATGTACTTACATTATCAAAAGTAAAACTACTTAATGCAGATAAATGGCCCTGACTGATATGCTATTAACTTATATAATTTCGTTAATATTTTTGATGCAAATAATGTGTTTTTCACAGTTTTATATAGGGCTGCAACTAATGATTACTTTCATAATGTATTCATTTTGATTTTTCTTGATTGATTTTGAAACCAGTCTGAAATGTGCTTCAGAATTGCAGAGCTCAAAGTGAAACCTTCTCAATGCTTGTCCAAAAAATAGTCCAAACCGAAATATGATTATAAAAAAAACTCAAATTAAAATAATTAAGGTGAAAAGCAGCAAATCATCCTGAGAAACTGGTACCATGAAGAGTTTGGAATTTTTGCTTGAAAAATGACTTAAACAGTGATCAGAATAGTTGCAAGTTTCTGCTCCACTTTACTGTTGGGTAGTGTAATTTATGACACACATACATGATATTATATAAGGTCTTCATAAGTTTTGTATGGCAAATAAATGTAGTGGTGTGAAAAGTAAAGATTTCCCTCTGAAAGGTAGTTGAGTAGTAAAAACTTTATAGTGGCTTGAAAAAAAATGAAAGCATAAATGTATATTTAAGTACAGTACTTGAATAAAAGTAAAGTTATATTCTGGTAGAGGAATGGTTACAGCGAATGCCATACAATCACATCCATAATCAATTTCGACCAGGAACCTTTGTTGGGTGTTGTTGTGTTCCCCTTCTCTCTCCCCCATGTTTCCTGTTTGCGTCTCTATTCCGGACTGCCAAATAAAAGCAAAATCTGCCAAAAAATCTAAAAAAAAAGCAAAAAACTAATCATGTTGTAATCTCATTTTGTCTTTCTATTTTCGTCTATTTTTTTTTCCATATAGATCCGCTTTATCCTCATTCAGAATCGAGCAGGGAAAACACGACTGGCCAAATGGTACATGCAGTTTGATGACGATGAGAAACAGAAGTTGATTGAGGAAGTGCATGCTGTGGTAACTGTCAGGGATGCCAAACACACCAACTTTGTGGAGGTATGGGATCAGTCTGTATCTTATGTATGGATGTACAGTTGTATGTATCCTTTGTTTTTTTTTGGGCAGTTCAGTGACATGCCCCAATTTGTTACTGTTAAATTCAACCAGAACTTTTTTTCTAAATCCTATTTAGGACCACAGTTAAATGACTGAAACCACACTGTCATTAAACATCTCTGTTGTGGTTACTTTACAGTAAAATAATAAGGTGACTCATGTGTGTCCCACATTACAAGCTTTTTCCACTAGCTACTCATAAGAAATTTGAGCAATTTCTAAAGCAATTTGAAAAGGAACCTTTATAAACATTGGGTGGCATTATAGGGAAATTCACTGTTAACAGAAAACAAAATCCTTGTCTGCTCATCAGTTTTATTATGTGCATTGTTCCAAAGCTATTATAGATATACTGTGTGTGTTTGTCTTAAAGCTGGGAAGCTTAAGCCCAAGTAAATCTGCTGTTGTCATAATATGAGAGCGTCAAAATTGTTGAGAGGCTTTATCTGTGTTTTTCTCACAGTTCAGAAACTTCAAGATCATTTACAGGCGTTATGCTGGTCTGTACTTCTGTATTTGTGTGGACGTCACTGATAACAACTTGGCATACCTCGAGGGAATCCACAATTTTGTAGAGGTAACTGACGCACACAACACATGATATATAGATTTAGTAAGTGAACTATGATGACTTAGTTCTTATGGTCTGATTGTTTTCAGGAATGTCTGTTGATGATTTCTTTCAGAGTTTTCTGTCCTCTACTGACTTGCAGCTCCTTATTATCAAACCTGTGAGAAGTGTGGACTGGAGTCTAATTAGAAATTAATTGTGATTTATTCAGGGCTCAAGTTTGCTAGTGATACGCCTTAAATTACTTGACATAAAATGCATTTTCCACAGTAACTGTATGATTTCACAGTGGTATTTAAATCACTGTGATAAATATCACATTGTTTTGTCTGCAACAGAATATGGATTATCAGATTGTTGCAAAGCCAAGAAATGAGTCACAGTTTAAGCGTTTAGCGTGACAATCCATTTGAGTACAAATTCCAAAACACTTAAATAAATTTCCATACAATCAAATTTACATTCTTATGTTCAGGGAGCAGCATTATCGACTTTTGATAAGTGTTTGATAACGCAAGGTCAAGTGATGCTAGAAATAAGTTGTCAGCAATAAAACAACAAATTGATTGGCAAATTGACTAATTACAAACTGAGTCTGATTTCACAGCCTGACTGCACAGACATTGTGCAAACACTGTAATGGCTACTCAATAGCAATGAGCAAATAATTTCAGATTTGGGAACTAATGCTTTCATAAGGTGCAAGCATTTTGGTCAGATAAAAAAATTCCAGTTTCCTAATAGTATATGTGCAAGTTACTGTATGACCTGCTTCAGCACATTTGCCTCCTGCCAGTGCTCATGTTGACCAAAAAGTGCTACTGCAGCAAAAACGGCAAACTAAATGCTTTTCAGTATTTTCTGTGGCTCATCATTTCAGATGTGCTTGATAGGAGATCTACTAATGATTTAATCTTTTTTATAATTAGCAGACATTGCATCACAAATATTGCTTTTCAAAACTCTGTTTATCGGTACATGGGAATAAACAAGGAATAGTCCCAGAGTATTTAATTGCGAAAGCATAGTCGTTTCAGTTCGTAGACTAAAAAGGTTTTTAGGAACTAACTTTAAGGATAAGGCTGGTGATACTTTTTCCTATTGTTAACAAATTCCATGAAAAGACCAGAACCAACAATAAATTGATCCTTTTAACAAGTTGTCTGTGTAACCATAGTTTGATATATCATCTCTCTCTATGCTGTAGACCTTCATTATTATCTGAAAAGCATTAAAGATACTTAAATAAGCTGCACTGGGTGATGTTAACATCTTTAGTACAATGATGGTGGACATTTTTTATTTTGTGTTGGTCCACACACTCTGTTTTGCTGGTGTAAAAAGTCCATCAATCCGCTACAGAAAATAGTTCCCAACTGATATATTACACAGTGTACAGTGTTACAGTGCCCAGCAGTTTTAGGAAATTAAAAAAAATGAAACTATATGTTTGTAAGGGGTTTTTATAGACTTCTGTCTAAGTAGGACCAGTGGGCTTAGGGCTGAGACCCCCAGACAGAGTAGGGAGGTCAGAAAGTATTTAGAGATGGACTGATAAATTGTTGGTTTTGGCCCTTTCCTGAAATTTGTTGACAAAAAAGGAAAATATGGAATAAAACCTGTCTTAACCTTTTAAAGGAGAATGAATAGAGCTCAGTGAAGTGAATCAGTCAAGCTGCTTTTATTTATGACAAATAAAATAAATGAAAGTTAGATGATATTTGATGATAATGGACCCAAGACTTTTTTTCTTTGGTGAACAGAGTTGTGACTCAGCTCACGAAGGGAACCAAAGACCTTTGACAGTGTGGTTTTGATGAAAAATTAGTGTTTCATTGGGGAGCTGTGTGGAACAGCAGGTTACATCGGACTGCATTGATCATTGCTCTTGTTTTAATTTGTCCTTCACACAGCTGCAGTGTATTATAGTGTATTAATGCCTGCCACCATGTTGACATTTGTTTCTGCAGCAGAGTTTTTCAAAGACTGTAAATCCATGATAGAAATTCCATACTTACACAACAGGTTTCTCCTTTGGAGCTGATAATATCATAAAATTTTGCAGCAGAAAATTTGCATACCAACTATGTGTTGAATGAAGACAAGTGAGGTGACACAGAAATGTCTGAATTATTTTATTCCAATAAACAGAATCTATATATTGGAAATATTGACTTTGTCAGGCAGTAATTGAAGAAATCATTCTGTCTTTGGAGAACCAAAGATTAGGTAGTGTCATTGTTTTAAATGATGGATATATCTTTTAAAATAGAACTATTTTATGTGCTTATTATTTCATCATATACTTTAATCAATGACTTAATCAGCATAACTGTCTGTTTATTCTGAATCTTGGTAATTATGTGGAGGCATTAGGCATCTCATTCTATCACGTAGTTTGTTAATTGCTGTTTAACAGCTTTTTCTTTTTCTAAACACATTCACTTTTATAAATCAAATAGTACCAACTTTAACTGTGATCTTGAAGTAAGATCTATTGTTTGTGTAGGGCTCAGACAAACAGTAAACGATTTTCTATCCAGAGCCCTCAGGAGTGAAGGTCATTTGATGTAATGTTTGACTATGAAGGAATGCAGGTACATGCATTCTGAAATACACAGCAGTCTACATTTGTTCTTTCTAAGCTTGTTGCTGCATATGGCCAAATGCTTAAAGAAGAAATAACCAATATAAAATCAATACAATTGATTTTCTTTTTTCTTTTTAGATTATTTTTTATTTAGCCCCTCTACTCACTCAAGATTAACTGGACATAAGACTCAAACAGGACACTGTATCACTGCTTAAAATGATCTGACCACGTACATTTTAATTTGGCGTATTTTGGATGGAGGTGCTTGCAGCGGAAATCATCTTATTATGTGGTTGTTAAGTGGCTTCTGCTCTTATTACAGCGTCATTATATTTCTACACTAATGCATCACATTAAAACACAGAATTACTAGATGTTTTCTCAAGGTAGACTATTTCCCTGTCTCTTGTCTGCTATCTGATTTAATAAAAGGTGTCCTCTCTTTCCTATAAGGTGCTGAATGAGTATTTTCACAACGTGTGCGAATTGGACCTTGTCTTCAACTTCTACAAGGTAAGGATAAGGAGAGATTGTCTTTACCTTGTGAGATCTTCAAATGACTTAATAAACACCTGGATCAAACAGAAGGTGCAGAGGAGGACAAAAGGCAGATGAGAATATGTTTCTTTCATTACGCTGCCATGGCAACCGATGTAATATTTACAACTAGAGCAGTCATCCGTTATTCAGTGAGATCCATCTAAATGATCTTATATATTTTTCATAAAATGAAATGCTAAGCAACAAACGCACCTGAATTCCCTCCCCCCAACTGTTGCCAGTGTTCTTGCTAATTAGCTAAGGTGTCTGAACATCCGCCCACATGCGTAACCTTAGAAGCACAATGCATTTACAACCACAAGTGGACCAGCATTTTTGGACAATGTGAGGAACCTAACCTGCCTCTCCTTCCCATCCACTGATATACTGCTGCTCAAAGGTTAAAAAAAAAAAAAAAAAGGTTTCAAAAGCTCAGTCACCCACTTCTCTCAGGTGTGGTGCAAGGCAGCTGATTCATCCAGTCATATTTATCACGTGTGCTAATGTTAACCACTCAGTGTGTTTAGTCATCCAGTAGTTATTTTTACATTTTGACAACACAGGTGGAATTTTCCAGGAGCCCCAAAGCTTTCATGTGTAGGGAAGAAGATAATGTCGTTTTGGTTTCAGTTTCATCAATGCCACATGCAGTTTGTAGTTATCTAGTCTATTTTAGTCCTTAATTCCCGTAATCCTCTCATGTCTTTTGATCACAGTGTTGGGCCCTGTCTGCCCTCTAATGCACTTCCTCTCTCTGCACTTTAAGGTGTACACGGTGGTGGATGAGATGTTCCTAGCAGGGGAGATCAGGGAGACCAGTCAGACCAAGGTCCTCAAGCAGCTACTCATGCTCCAGTCGCTCGAGTAGAAACCAGACAACCATCTGTCCTACCTGCCCAATAATCTGCTGCCCTGGCGCCTAAACCAACCTGCTCCTTGTTCCTGTCACTCTGGAAAGGAACCCCCCCCAGCTTTTTCCTGCCTCCACAGAGCCAACACTTACAGAACTTCAGGAGGGGGGTGTTTAGAAATAGAATATTGTTTACATATGGATATATAATATAGAGGCTCAATTCATCTCTTTGTCATAGCAGTCTATATGTTGCAGTATTCTGTAGCTGTTGTACTGCTAATGAAGTCACCCAGTATAAAGGCTGTACATTTCAACATGTTGACATTTCATACACCACCTGAGTTATAGTCATATTTGTATTGTGTTCCCTATCCCCAAAGCCAGAGGCTGCAGAAATGCGTAATTTCATGTAGGTAGTCATTGCATTTATCTCCATGGAGCGTGGAAACACTGATGTAGAACCACCAGTGTTGCACTGCTCTCTCCTGCCCTCCTCCTTCTTTCCTATTCATTAAACCTCAACATTCATTTAATGGCACTACTGTAACTAACAAGCACCATATATAAAGAGAGACCTCCTATAATGATTCAATGTGCACTGAGAAATAAAAACAGCCTTGCAGCCGTTTCTACGAACTCACGTAAGGAAAGACCTTGCAAGTTTTGTGGTATTGGACTCACCATGGCTACGCTGCATTTTATGTCTGGATCATAGTACAAGCAAACTACAACTAGAAAGCCCTTTAGAGCAATTGACCCAGCACGGCAAGTTCATAATTGAATGGAGTGTACTTAGGATGAGAGCCATTTTGACGGTGTGTTATGGTAACCTGTGCTGTGCCAGACATCCTCACAGCTGATGATGATAAATGGTGTAGGTTATGTTAGCTCAGATGGCTTCTATAATCATTTTATAAAAAAAACAAAAAAACAACTATATTATATGGTGCTTGTTGGTCACACATTAAACACTTAAAACACAAATGCACTCAGACAGAAGAAGACCTGGACATAAAAAGTATATTTTACATAAAGCAGTACTGTGAAGTTTGCTTTGTGTACATAGTGTGTAACTTGCGTGTGTTGAATATTGTGAAATGAACACAATCATTCCAGAAAAAGTGGTTCTTGCTCACTATATGGTCTGAGCAGTATTTACATGTTTAAGATCAATAAATTCCTCTAGCATTGCATAAAATAACTTTTTTTAGATTCCTCTCACAAGCCTCATGAATTCTGACAATGAAACACACTTTTATTAATTTCCATTTGCTGGACTTAAATGTTAATGAAATTACGTACTCTAACAATATCCAGTCATGAAGGTGGTTTCAAATGTTACTGTTGTTGAACGTTTGTATTTTTTTTTTTTTTTAATGATTAAGTAATAGTGAAATATGTACTGCTTCCCTTCTACACTTTTGTGAGTTTGTTGTTGGAAGGCGTGTGTATGTATTACTGTCTCCAGTTCAACTACCCACATCAATATGTCCCATTATATGTAAATAATAAACAGATGAAGTGATACATGAACATAATCTATTTCTTATTAATCCTCTATGAGAAGGGAATTTTCTTAAAATTAGATCTGGACCTAACTTATCCCACATATTGTTATAACCTTAGCTTTAAGGACTACAAGAAAACAATAGACTGAACCTCATCTCTAAGTGCCAATGTCTTTAAATACAGGAGCTGGAGATTTTTCTGTCTAATATTTTAGCACCATCTAGTGGTAAAACATCAGCTCTTCCACAATAAATTCTGCAATTTGGTTATGAGGTCATCCTGACAGCCTGACTAGGATCAATAAATCAGTCAATATATCCACTTCAGCTACATTAAACCACTCTAGATGTTACTCCATCGACCCAGGAACATAAATCCAGACAATTGGACAAGGAGGGCATTTACTCTTCATCATAGGAGTCCTCTGATATCCTAACCTCACCCTGACTGCCTTTGAGAGAAATGATTTGACTGAAGAATGGAAGATGAGGCAAATGAATCATGTACACGGATTCAATTATTAAATTCAAGGGTCTGTTAATTCAGTAGGGATATAAATCTGATGTGTAGTAAGTTGTTGCTCACATTTGTGCACACAGGAGAGAGGGCAAACACCTGAGATTTACCAATATTCGCGATCGGATGTTCGTCAACTACCTGGAGCCACAAACTGACAGGAACCTACAGCGGCTAAGAGACAAGGCACAGATATAAACATCAACATCCAGAAGACAAGTGAAAAGCATTTACTGAAAAAACAAGCAGTTTACTGGGAATTGCATAATCATTACAATCAATGAGCAACACTCACCCTCAATTGACAATAGACAAATCTTATTTACAGCATAGGTTACTTGAGATGTACAGTAGTATTAAGGTTGATTATATAACATTAGTTACTAAACAACAACTGAGTTGGACTGCATTCATCAGGACTGAATTCAGACTAGAATAAGTGAAAAAAAACAATGCTTACCATATGGCTATTTTGACGAGTGCTTAATATGAACTGTACAATAAATACATACAAATGAATGCAAGCTCACTCTGGTTCAACAGGCTTTACCCATTTAGATCATCTGATTACTGAATACAGATGATGATAGAACTTGTGACTGTGAGTGATCAGTCACTGTCGATGGCCTCCTACAGCTCAGGAAGTCAACATCCTTTCATCATTACCTCCATGTCAGCAGTGAGCAACAAACAAATCAAACCTCAGACAACAGTCTTGCCTCGTGACAGCAGAAACGAGGAAATCAAACTAAGAATCTCAGTTGTTATTTAGTAAGAAATTAAAACATCTACAATTAAAATCTTTATTACAGTTTACAGTTCAAGTAAAATAAATTGTACAATTCTATAGTTACAGCATATAAACAAAAAAAAAAGAAAATTCAAAAATAAAAGTGCACTTGCAGAAGAGACAAACTATCACACAATGCCAATATTTTATGAAACATTTTTTTTGACCATCTGTCTCGTGATATCCTATACTATCTCATGTTTGCACAACTCACCATGTCTCTCCCTCGAGTGTGCTGGCTCACTTGAGCTTAAACACATATGGTTTGTCTGGGAGGCCATATGCTAACATTTGAAGAGAAGACATGAGATAAGTTTGCAAGCAGTTTGTTTTGATCTCCTCTTGGCTGGGTCAGTATGACCTGCTCTCTCAGTGGTTCAGACAGACGCAGTGCCTTTGACTCAATAGTAGGGCGGGAAGTTTGGGTTATTAACTTAACCTCATTCTCCTCCAGCAGCACCACAAGCCATACTGTCAGTGTTACATGAAGAGAGGAAACACGTTTCAGTGGAAATTCCCCTTTTCTCTCTGGGGCAACACAGGGTCTGCTCTAAGGACAAAACATCTGGGTCGGCTCGAAAAACTCAGTAACATTTTGCTGCAGAGCAGAGCTACTTCTGTGCTTGACAAGTGAAAACTACTTTGAAGGTTAAAAACAGAATCCTGACTTTTATCAAGGCAAAGCCTTGCATGATTAAACAATGTCAAACCTCTATGAGGGAACTGGGTGGGCGGCATGAAAGTTTCCCAAACATGGCACTGAGGCAAAACCAACTGTGGTTTCCTGTGACGTCCCTTATACAGTATGTGCATGTAGAGCATGAATCAAAGGGAGGTCATGGAGAAAAAACCCAGCAGGAGGAGTCAAAAACATTGTTAGCTTTGCAAAGATTGTTGATCCTTTCTTAATCTTTCACTGTGATAGGACCAGAGACACAGGGACTTGAACATGGTGTGAATCAGATAATACAAATCTACAGACTTTGGGGCCTTTGGAGTAAAATAAAGAGCAACAATTCTCTTTTTTGTGCTTTCAACCTGACCCACAGGCTTGTCTATGTGAATGTAGAGTGGAGTGACTGGATCATTCCCTTTGACAGTTTAGAGACATGATGGCTGGGAATAATATACTGTAGATCCACAATATCAAGTATATTACTAAGGCCAATACTCTACATCATAACAGTGCATTTTAAGGCAAACCAAAAATTTAAAAGACTCGTAACACACGTCAGAGTGACTAAAAGTCCTCGGTTTTACATTTGGGGTTGTCTGACTTTAAAAATCTGAAATACAGTTTAATCTGCTGAGTAGCTGTTTCAATTTGCAGATCAGATGAAAAGCATTCATGGACAACAACTGCAGAAAACTTTGTAAAGATTTGAATAGCATCTGGTTTAAATTTCTATACAATAATTCTAACCCAAAATCTGTGCAAGTTGACTTCATATTATTTAATAAGAGGTCACTTTTAGACTGTTTATCACTTAGTCACTATCAACAATAGGCTGAATTTATGGTAAATACAGTTAACTCAAACAATGGATAATAAAAAGCTAAATACCAAAGGGTGCCTTCATGAATGTTAAAACGCTGACCAAACTAATCATGAATCCCGTCCAGATTGCCTGAACAAGGAATATGCGCAAAATAGTTTACCAATAATAATTTACAAACAATGACGTGCAAACGCAGAAAGCATGTAGGTTCTACTAAAACCAGAATGAAAAAGCACAGAGATAAAACAACAGTAGGGCAGCCCATACACACAACCCTTCACCTGTCTGGTAAGTAACTGAGAAATAGATTTTTGAAGAAGAGAATTCTTCATCTTTATGATCCCGGTGTGTTCACACCAAGTGGTTTCCCTGTCCAGACACAGGTGCAAAGCTGACCCCCTAGGTAAGAAGTAGAAACTCTTACCAGAGGTCAGGGGTCAGGGGTTGCAGTGATCTCCACGACCACTCATCCAGGTGATCCAAGGTGTGTGAGACTCTCTGCAGAGAGAAGGATCCCACACACCAAAAAACACCTGGAGCTGAAATGTGGGAAGAGAAGGGAAACGAGAAGGTGATCACTGACAGGCCCTCATCAATATTGAGGCAAGTAGAAAAATCAAAAGAAAGAGATTTCAAGTAAAGTCTCTTATTTAAAAGTACTACAGTTACAGCCTGAGGTGAGTACACACCACTGACCTGTAGGGGACGTCCTGTCTGTGTGGGCCTGTGGGCTGAGGTGAGGGTGGGGCCCCGATCCCTAGCAATTACACTGCTGCTTATTCTGTGTGGTGGTTCCTCTAGGCTGTCGCAGCTGCCTCAACGAAGCATCTCCATATTGGATACCTGAACCCATCCTCTCTGGGTCCAACTCACCTTTGAAATGAACGGCAAAAAACGTGTCAGCAATGCAAACATATACAGACAAATACGCTCGACTAAGTGCGGATCCGCAGGGCTTCATGCACAGAGATCATAAGTACAAACGACTGTATTCTCTCACACAAACGCCCAACCTCTTCAAACAAAGAAAAGAAGTGTACCTGAATCTATCTTGTTGAGGATGGTGCGAGCACACTTCAGAAAACCCTCCTCAACATTTTCTCCTGTCAGAGCACTGGTCTCTAGAAACATCAGCTCTTTATAGACATAAAAAAAACAAACAATGAACAAGAGAGGAGAAAAATACAGAATTGAAGGTGTAAATGAAAAGGAAAGTGGAGAAAATAATAGACAAAAATGTGTGATCGATTCAGCATCAGTCACCATTCTCCTGAGCGAAGCGTGAGGCCTCTAGGAAGGTCACCTCTCTGTCTGCGTCCAGGTCTTTCTTGTTGCCACACAGGATAATAACAATGTTGGGGCTTGCCAGTGTCCGTGCATCTGTCAGCCAGTTGGTCAAAGCATTATATGTCTCCCGGCTGTAAGACAGGACAGGACACATGGACACATAGTGAGGCACAATGGCCAGTTTACCGATGAGGGTATAGGAAACAGTTGACAGTTTACCAGAGACCAGTTTACCCACTTTATCCTGTTTCATGGAACTGAAAAAATGAATTTTGATTCTTCATCACAGAGTTTTGTATACCACATAAATAAGACAATAGCTGCATATTAGATTATAACGGAGGAAAAAAGTAACAAAACTAGTCCCGCTAAAAGCTAACTAGCCTAGCTTAGCAGAATAACCTCTTGTATTCATGTGATTTCCTGTGGTTGAGCTTCTTTCAAATCACATATTTAAATGCATTTAGTTCACAATTACTTCATTAAAGTAATTCCCAAATGTTAATGGACAACAAAGCTGATGCCCCAAAAACATATTTTGTGAGTAGATATTGCGTTTTCCTTTAGATGGACCAAAAAGACTGCAGTTTATAAATGTTTTGTAGAATTTATTATTAGCCTTCAAACTTCAAACCCTTTAACTTCACTGTTTCTCTAGTCACTCCCTTTGTAAGGCCAAGTTGGGCAGTGAAGATAGAGTCACACAACTTTCATGGAGACTTCTTTGTGTTGTCGCCACTGGTCACCATGGAGACAGGACCCTGGTGACCATGGTAACATGAGGCCAGTGAGGTGAGCAGAAGGGTGTGGGTCAGCAGAGTGAGCAGAGAGATGTTTAACAGCTGCTTTCAGAAACAGCCAAAGAATGACAACTCCTCGTCCGCACACTGATGGGACCGAGCAGCTCACGTACGCTCTCCTTTCAGCTACTTTCCTGTCCGTCGTCCTGCTAACCTTTTCACCCATGAGAAGTGATACATGTCTCCATCTCCCACTCACTCTCTTGTTTTTCCCGTCTCCTCTTTCTCGTGCTGCCTCTCCCCACAGTTTTCTCCCTCCACTCTCCCTGTTTTTTCCCCCTTCAGATGACACTTTCAGTGATGGACTTTTGCTTTGTCGACTGCTGTTGCCTGCCAGAGGATGCCTCTATATTCCAGCTCCTGCCACTCTGCACTCCACCACCCTCCCCTCTACAAAGGCCATACATTCCAACAAACACAAACTATATTACATTCCTGTCTCTCTGCATTACTGCATTCACTCAGTCTTGATTTCACAATCCCTCCATTGTAACCCAAAGCTTATGAAATACAGGCCCATGACTGGGTTCTGTTGTTTATATCTCATTGTATGGGTCCAAGCACCTAGTCATTAAATTGCACAATTTCTGGAGATGGTATGGACACACTATAGTTTTTCACACCACACAGACTGAAAACAACAATATAATGTACAATATAAGGTGAGTAAAGGGAGAAGTGAAATACTATTTACGGTAAAACTTCATGGGTCAGTAAATTTCAATTTCAAGTTCAGCCAGATCCAATTTCAGCAGTTCAAAATATCACTGCTGTGAATATCTAGTAGTATGCTCCTCTATGCTATGCAATGTTGTGTGTTTTTTTAGTGGTTTATTTACTATTTTGCCCTGTAATGAAAAAGTATATATATCAACAATATAGAGAAAGTTATTATTTGTGAATGTTAATTCTGTTACACAAAAGGTATAATTTGTGGGAAGGCAGAGGGCCAGTAAGTGCAGCAATTGTTTTACCTGGTAATATCATAGACGAGGAGTGCTCCGGCTGCTCCTCTGTAGTAGCTGCGTGTAACAGAACTGTGGAGAAAAAATCTTGGTCAAAATGAGGCATCCACAATGTCAGTGTCAGCTGGTGAGTTTTGGCTTGGACAGGTGAATGAGAAACTGCTGGTTGCTTTTAACTATTATCATCAGGCACTTAATTAAGCATCTCCACATGCAACTGTGGGTAACTGGACGTTTCCCAAAGAGCATGTAAGCTCAGTAATTCACGTTAACCTTGTATTTGTAAAAACTTTGCCAAACCCTTAGCGGGAAATATTGCAGGCCATTACCGGAATCGCTCCTGCCCAGCGGTGTCCCAGATCTGCAGTTTGACCGTCTTTCCGCCAACGTTGACCACTCTGGAACCAAACTCCACGCCGATGGTGTGGTTAGAGTCCTGTTTAACTGCGACAGGAACGCAGAGAACAGAGTGTGAAAAATGACAAATGTGATGTAAAAGTACGGCAGAACAACAAACTTCTGTACACTCCTTGTAGTAATGCAATTCCTTTGCAAAATGATGTGGTGTTTAAAGAGATGCCATTCTATTTATACAACAGGTGTGCACTACCTCAAAGGAGACGTTCGAACTCTGCTCCCAGAATCTTTACTTCTAATCTATAATATGTTGGTTTGCTGTGCTTGTTTAAAAGACTTAAGCTGTTATCTTCAAAGATCATATCCACATCAGAGACAAGAGGGAGCCTCGATGAGATTAACACTGCCAACCTGTCTTCTATTCCTCTCTCCACTGACAGCATAGGGACCTATTACGCCTTTAATCAAATTAATACAAGTTGTAAAAGCAAATTTCTGTTTACTGTTTACTGTTAACTGTCATGTAACCATAAAAAACTACAGCTGAAATGAATCACTGTTACTCCAGGGTACAAAAAAAACCCCCAGAAATCAAACTCCATTTAAATAAAAATTGGAACATTAAGCACGTATTTTCTTTTTATATCCTGTTAGTCTAGGAAAGTCTGAACCTGAGAACTCTGGTGTCTTGTGTTATATCTTGCTGGCTTGATAATTATCTATGGAGAATGTGAGGAATCTAGACAGACACAATTCATCCACTCTCTTTAGTTTGATTCCACATGGAAGTTAATGAATAACTTTCTCAGGAGGAACTTTGAAAAATTCAGTGTAACCTCACAGGGGAGTGAGAGGGTTTATTTAACGTATGTGAGAATGGAACAGCTCGGAAAATTAACAGCACTAATCACATGATCGTTTCCATTTCTGTGTGTGCATGTAGCAATACAATTATGAATTCATTGAGGAATTCACCTATTCCTGAGGTGATTAATGAGCTTTATAGAGGGAAAACTTACACTTGTTCTCAATGAACTGGTGGAGGAGGCAGGATTTCCCCGTCCCAGCACTGCCAATCACCAGGAACTTAAACAGGAAGTCTGAAAGCAGAAGAGAGGAGGTAGAGATCAATGCAACACCCACGTCAGGAGAGAATCTGAGCCTGCTGCTCTCTGCACTTCCATCCTCAGAGACAATCCTGAGATTTCCTCTTAATCCCATTGAGCTACTACTTTCACAGTATTCAACAACCTTAAATTAGCCTACTAATCACAACGCCTTGCATGTAATCAGTACAACATGTTACTTATGATTCTAATTTAATATGCTTGTTTGTCTGAGGTGGAAAATGAATGTGTGTGTTTAGGCCTTGAAGAAGCAACAGCACTTAATAACACAAGTCATCAGAGCAAAGCCAGAGCTTTAGAGTTATTAAACATGGCTTAGGGTAACTGACTTGTGCAAGGATTGAATGACCACAGCCAGCTGGTTGTACAGATGTTGTTGTTGTGGAGAGTGGGGCCTTACTCTGGAGAGTTCAACCCAACCTACGCATATGATAGAAAATGACTCGGGGCCCCTGACACGTAAGGCCAGTACAGACAGTCTTTGTGTGCTGTGGCCAAAGATAGTGCAGGGGACATTTGAATACGTAGGCTGCACTGCAGTTCGAACTAGATCCATGTGACATGAAACAAAGTGATGACTGAGGACGTGAAAAGTGTGCATATGTGTATGAGAATCATAAGCGAGTCTGTGTTAGTGACTAATGCATGGAGAGGTAGTAAAAGAATAACAGGAAATCCTCGAGTGATGCTGTGTTCCTAAGACGGTGCAAGCAAAGAAAGATTGCAAACTACACCTTTCCTCCTGAGAGTCTGCTTCAGTTGGAATTTGAAGGCAGAGTGCAATTTTAGGTTTAAGCTTAAGCGCTGGCTCTGCAGGCAGAAGTGCTGGCCTGGCAAATGATTAGTGACTGCTGTTGAGATTACCACCCAGGTGAACATCCTGTGAATATTCAGCTCCACACAAGGTCAACAGACACAGTAGTTTAGAAAAAAAGAAGGGTGGATGAAATTGATCTTTAGTTCCTGTGTGACATTTATCCTAATTATGCTAGTGCTTTTAGAGCCACCTTCACCGGTCAAAACACACACACACACCCAAACACACACCCAAACACACACACGCACACACACAACTACCATCTCAGTTTATGGTGCACCTTTGTTTGTTGAGGCGGGTGTTTTCTTAAGTAACACAAGCTAGAGGTCAAATTCATGGTAACAGAACAGCTATGGCAAAGCAAAGGTGCCTACAAGCACTTGCAGTTTTCTTCAGCAACAGCAGTCAGCGTTACATCTCCACCACACGTTGTCAGTGGCCATGACAGCAGAACTGACAGATTCAAAGGCAAACAGCTCTGTTTTAAAAGCTTGCCTCAGCTTTTTAGTGTCTTCCCAGACATCACATATTCCCATGCGAGATCTGCATACAACAATCAAGCTGTCAATATGTCAAAGCAATGAGGAGCAAAGAATGCAGCGCTGCCCTCTCAACAGCAGCCTTTCAGGCTATTGTATTCTTTCACATCAATATTAAATAACTCCTGAGGGAAAAAGACTAACACTGTTATCTGCATTCACGTACACTGTGACAACACTTAACACACTCAGGCCCAGATCTACTTAAGGACTATGTCTGGTGTGTCCTCTGATCTACTGACAAACTGCAAAGGGCGATTACACTTTAAGTTACAGGAGATGTTGCCTTACTGAATATTTATCTCAACTCAAAGAATACAGTGCAAGAAAGAGGGAAAATATGGAAACTGGAGAGATTAGATTGAATTTCACTTGTAGTAAAATTATATAAAAATGTAATGTGTAACACTGGCCAAAAATCAATGCAAAGCAACACAACTATCATTTCATACAGTGGATGAGTGAATCAATAATTTGATCAAAATGAAAAAAAAAAAAAAAAGAAATTTAATTGTCATATTTTGATAATTGAGTTATCAATTCAGCAATGTATTTAGCAAAAACATCAACATTATCTGGTTCCAGATTATCTATGTGAGGATTTAATGGTTTTATCTGTTTGACATCATAGTAAATTGAATATTTTGGGGGATTGGACAATCGGTCAAACAATCAAGCAATCTGATGACTTGATCTCTGATGGACATTTTTCACAATTTCCTGACATTTTATAGCAGAAACAATCCAACAATAATGACAACAACAAACACATAGTCAAGTAAAATGGCATTTTTCAAAATAGTATCAGTGTAAGGCTTTATTTCTGAATGACTCTGAATAATTGATCCCAGAACATGGCTTTTTAAAATTGGCCAGATAATTTCTTATATTCACCACATTCTGAAACTTTACAAGACAAAATAATGACAGAGTGCCACACTGAATAAGGACCAAATTAATGAAAAATGTAATGAATTTCATCTGGGATCTATTTAACCTGGCCATGTACTTATTGTATACCTTAAGGGTGCAACTAACAATTAATTTTATTATAACCCTTTACATCAAATAGTGAAAAATGGCCAATATAATTTCCCATAGTCCAAGGTGGTGATAAGTGTGATAATTAGTTTACCATCATATATCACAAAGAAAAGTAGTAAATCCTGGCATTTGAGATTAATCGACTATTTCTTGCAGCTCTGGTATTCATATACTTTTAACCAGTTCCACTTTTGGCCCTACAGAGAAGCGAAAGCACAGGAGACTGAGACGGAAATCAATAAAAGGCCATTACAGCTACCATTAGCACAGGCACTTTAACATAAATACTGCCCATTGAGATGAAGTTTCATACAAGGAATGATGGAGAAAGGGAACAAGTGGAAACAGATGAGAGTGTGTGCATGAGAGCACAACAGCAGAGGATGATGGTGTGCCATTTCAAAACTGGGTCTATTGTGTCTGGTCAATTGGGCTACCAGTACTATCAGACAGAGTCATGTTAACCGTATTAATGCAGAATAGTAATTTCTGTCAGTAATACTGGTGGTCAGTCATAATGTCAGTGTCCACAGACAGGTGCAACCATGTCTCCTGTCAGCATTTACTTGTAAAGTAGACTGTATGAACTGAATAGAGAAGTGAAGTTACTCGGATTGAGGATGTGAACAGACGTGGACCACTACATACCTAACAGCTGCTGCTCTATAGGTAAGTCAGGGATGATCAGTCACAGCTATCTGACTTCCTCAAATAGGCCCTGTAGCTAAAGCTACCTTTCGAGTATAAATACACAACACCTAGGACTAAAAGCAAACAGTCTTGCAGCTTACAAGGTCACTGAGTCTGCTTCAGTTTCAACCAACTCAGGCTACTCAGCATCTGATAACACATCCCTCATGTATCAACATGTTACTGTGGCTTTGTTTCTGAAGTTTGGCCAACTTTTACCTGGGAATGTATCACCATCTGTTTGCTCATGTTAATGGCCGTTTAAGGAAGCATTACACTCGCCATCGTAGGACAGATGTGTCAGTTAATCCAAAAAAACGCTTTGACTATCCCCGTTTTTTTGAATAAAATGCCAAAAGCAAACGTTAGTTATCACTACTTAAACCGACAGACATGATGAGGTGGCAGGTTAGCCAGCAGCTAACCTAAGCTAACCATGTAGCCAGCTAACTAGCAGCGTTGCTAAGAGCCAGTCTATCGCAGGAGAGCACGGAGCGGCTAGCAAGCATGAAATTACAGTCTGCCGCCCCGTAACAACATACCGTATGTCTCAGACATGTTGACCCTTGCTGTATGAAGGACTCAATCGGGCCTTTTTACTGTCCTCTCGGTACTGTGACAGCCGTGCGCTCGCTGGGTTCACACCTCTTCGGGGTGTTTATCTACGATGCTAGAGGTTTCCTTGATCCCTTCCTAGCTTCCTTTGCCCCGATCACAACCAAATATAGCGACTGCGTGCTACGTCATTCGTAGTCTAGCGTGGCGTTCAGGTGTTGTTGGTCATGTTGGAGTTGCACATGACCAACCCGACAAATTGAACGAAAATAAGTTTGGGTTTATTTGGAATAACAGAAATTTGATGAGTTGCGGTTTGTACATGCGTTGTATTTGGAGTAAATGTCGGATACCTCAATAATACCCCTTTAGATTGCATAGAAAATTCGATCAAATTTGCTTATTTATCATCATATTCGGACTTGTTTTCTTCAGCTTGTTAAATGTGTTCCCGTAGATTTTAAGATAAAAGAAAACATATAAAATGGTATTATACTACAATTTTAATTTTATTTTGTCTGTAATTTACTTATATTTGTGACAAGTCTTTGTGAGTTATGAAAAGAAAATACTGATTTAAAGAACGGGAAGGCAGCATTGTCTCACCGCCTTTGCTCAGATATTTCTCACTGAAAAACAAAGCAGCTTTTATTCAGAAAATGCTGTGCTAGTCTAGTCCGAATAATCTGATCAGTTATAGTTTAAAATTAAACATTACGAATACACTGTTGTTTTTAGTTTTAGAAATATGTCTGTAATTGCAACAACAGACCAGAGGGTGGCAGGCAAAGATTAAGGGACTTTAGGACTTGAGACAGCATAGTGTAACCTGGTAAGATACTGCTGCCTCAACACGATGTGACATAACATGATCTCACAAATTTGGAACATTTTGTTAATTTTGTAATTTTGCACTGTTGTATATCAAATGTCTGCTATGGAAATTTATATATTGCCCATTCTACTTGTACAACCCCCCATTTTTTGGCCAAAAAAGAGATCAGTACATAAACATGTAGTGTCAAAATCTGTGGTAAAGGGAGTTATGCATAAATGTGGTATCTTTGGCAAGCAGACGACTACTTTCCCCTGGAAATAATTGCTCAAACCAATGTCTTTTGAGGTTTTAGAGGAATGAGGAATGTCTGTTTTCTTGTTCTTTGCTTATTCATTCATCACCTTTCCATACTTCCATACGGACACAAAATCACACAGAGCCCAGGGCGTGGAGTACAGGACCGCCCAAGGGCAACAGGTGATAAATTACAGAGCCTTCCACTCTGCTACTATCTCTCCGAGTTCCTCCCTGCCTTTGTTCTGCTTTGGCAGATCCCCTCATCCTCCCCAGCCTTGTTAAAAGCTCTTTTCACTAAGATTAAAGACAGAAGGAAACACAAGGCTCAGCGTCGTGTGGGGGCACGGATGTTTTCCTAAGGTGGGCTACAAGAAATGCCGGCCTCAAAGGTGTGCAGCGGGCTGAAAGAAAAGCTCTTCCGTTAGGTGCTTACCTTTGTGGGTGTCTTATTGTTTCTTTGTCCTAATTCTTGTCCTCTTGTTCATTGCAGGTGTCATCATCAGAGCAGACATTTGTTTGGATTTCGGGGCAAACAAGATGCTTGTGTGTGACTGTGTGTGGGTTGTTTGGGGATTTTGACCTTGGACTATCCTGTCACTAACAGCTCAAACTAGCAGCGGACAGGCCTGCTGGAATCACGTGTACTTTTAGAAAAACATGTCAAATAGAAAATAGCGATGAAGGGGGGCGGCATAGAAACAGAAATCAGACCCTTTCATGTCCTGTTGAGACAGTTTCAACCTAAGATCAAAACAAATGTGTTCATGATGAGCACATGGGGGAAGCCCCCACAAAACCCAACACCATTCACAATGTTTATTACAAACAATGAGTCATTTTCCAGAGGATCATTTGAGTGAATCACTTCTTGGGACAGGTGAGCTCTGTGGTTGGCTGGCATCACTGTAAATATAAAGGTGTATGCCACATCATGAGTCATTGCCCATACAGTAAACACAGCGGGATTCTTGACAACCTGTTGTTTTATATACAGAAACAAATGGATTCTATGAAGTAACAGCTATTAAGACACATGGTGCTGTAAACAAAGCCATAAGGTGTGAATGTACTAATGGGGAGAAGCAAGAACAAGAGTTTTGTAAAGGCATCTAAAACCCAACTGTCAAAAACCTAACAGAGCGCTTGGACAGACAGTTACAGTATGTGTGTTAGAGTGGAGAACAAACTGTACAGCTCTGATTCAGTCCGAGGGGGTGTATTTGTGTGCATACCTACACTGTGCAGTAGTGCCTTTGCACTTTGTTTGTTTGCACATCCAGGACATCTCCTTCATTTTCTATCCCACCTCACTGCACTTCAATCTGCACTGCCCAAGTCAGTAAACCCCTAGTAGGTTGCAACACATTAGAGCAGAAACCCCAGGCTATTTGATTGACTGTAAGTAAAGGGAATGTGAGCAACATGTTAACATAAGGGGGACTGCAGCCTTTGAAATGACTGAGAGGAATAAAAGAGCATCTCTTAAAGTCATACTGAAGGTTACATATAAAAGAGAAAGGTCTCGCATATCAAGTTCCTTTTAGCTATTTATAGTCCTAATCTTTCATCTTTCCATTATCAAGAGAGATGTAATGTGGTGGAACCCCCACAATCAGCTATAAATAGACAACAGACTACTGTACTACGTTTTATCTATAAGACCATAAAGGGATGACAATCTTATCATGCCCATACTGTTTTTAGAACAAAGTTTTATTGCGTTATTTCTTTATTTATTTAGAATATTTCCTGTATCCTCCTGTTGTAACAGTTGCTCAAATGTCTCTGTGGTACGAAACTTGGAACATGTGAAAAAAAAAAAGACAAAGAAGAACAATTAGAAAAAAAAACAGTTGACAGATATAATGCAGCTATGACAACAGGTGTTTGTTTCAGTTGTTTCCTCAGAAAGGCTTCACTTTGTTTAATGATTAAATCTTGGTTAAGTTGGGAAGGCGTGCATGTTTACAGAGAAGTCTACCACTTCCCTCTTGATAAGTCATCTTGATGTGCCAGTTAAATAATGAGAAGCAACTTCCTTTATGGCCGAAGCAGATTGGGAGTTGCGGAGAGGTGATCTAAAATAGGAGGCATTACAGCCTACCCAAAGACCCACAGACCCACTGGTTTCACTTCAGTGTCACAGGGGGACATTCAATTTGCTTTTACTAACTGGGGTATTTTTGCTGTTTGATTCATGTAACTTAGAATTTGTCAGTTCCACACAAGAAAACACTCCATGTCATTCAGATTTAAAACTGAACACAAGCACGGACTCAACTGAAGATTCAGAGAAGCATGAAGCCTATCTTCCAATCCTCTTACTGTGAGTTCACTCTGTAGGCAGGCATGAAGAGGAGAGGTACTGAAGTGAGACCTGGTTCGAAAGGAACAGAAGAATGTCAATGAGTTCAAGGGTCCAAGCAAACCCTAATCAGCAACAACCCAAGCATTTCATAGTATCCCACAGTGGTAGAAGCCAAGGTGAACCCAAAAGGGTCAATTTACTGAAGCAGGGCAATTGTACTGCAACATTCACACATGGCACACTCTGCTTGCTACAATATATTCAACACCCCCCTTTGCATTGATTTGGTCTTTTTCCATCGTCAAAGCTCTGCCCACTCTTTTAATCACCAGTGAACAGCCTGATCGTGTCAATTTTGTGTCCGTGGTGCTTCTTCCCAAAGAGTTAATGTTATCAGCAATTCACTTCAACAAGCTCAGTTTTTTGTTACTTTGGCCGACATGGATATCATGAGTAGATCTCTTGGCTCTGTTCAGTTGGTGTTTGCATGCTTGGCAATATGTCACTAATCATCATCACTCCAAATCTCCTCTGAGCTCGTTGTATTTTTGAGGGAAGTGCCGAGGTCAGAGCCTAGACGCCAAATATCAGCTCTGTGTATTCACATAGTAAATCCATTCCACATGAGCTGGCAGGCCGGACAAAAGGATTTATGACCCGCAAAGTAAAACATTAAGAGAATTTTTCAGGGGTTCACAACAATTATGCTCAAAGAATTCTGATCAAAATTGCATTTCTAAAATACACACAGTTTTCAGGATTAGGGACATATAATGCTAATGCAGTTTAATACAACAGTCCTTCAACAAATCCTACATCAATGGTTTCAATGTTCATTCTTCTGTTAAACTCTACAGTCATTTTTGAGGCTATAATTTTGTCCATCCAAATTCTTTACTCAAGGATACACTAAATGTATGGATATTAGTAGGTTCTTCAACCAATATCTCTTTGCAGAGAGAGAGAGAGAGAGAGAGAGAGAGAGAGAGAGAGAGGTTAGTTTAAGAGAGAGAGAGAGGTTAGTTAAAGCAGAGATGTGGTCCGGAGAGGTCAAGGGTTAAGAGCGTGAACAGGACCGGCTATGTTAGTGGAAGGAATCCTGCTGACCTCTTCAGTGGCAGATCACTATCTAGGCCCCAGCAGCTTCTTCCATATATCTTCCTCTATCTTTGTGCAAACTCACCTCTCTTCACCTTCACACCAGCAATTCTGCTCACCTTCCGCTTTTCGCACTGTCACATCACAGCCTGGAGGAGAAGAGGAGGGGGAGCCAGAGGTTGTTTGTGGTCAGCAAGAAGGTTTCTTTTTTTTCACTTGGCAGTAAAATGTGGAAAAGAAGAGATTAAGCCTCGCAAGATTAAAACCTTTTTTTTTTTATATGCAGCGATTACAATGAAACGTTTTTTTCAAAGTGAACATTTGTGAAATATTTCACAATTGACATGTGTAAATGGGTGTAAGTAATCAATAAAATTAAGCTTGAATTCCATTTAGCGGCTTCACTTTCAGGGTCCTGATTTTGCATGTGCACACTGACAGGAACACTTCAGTACAGCACAGTAACGCCAGTGCTTTTTCTACCGTGACAAGTCAAAATATCAGATGTGGAAAAGACTTATATTTTGAAAAATACCCTTAATCTTGGGAAACCGCACAAAAATGTACAAAGCCTTCATCATACGTCTGCAGACAGCTCATGTTTTTGAGAATTGAAAAGAGCACTGTAGAAAACTTAAGTTGGGGTGAGAGAATCATTTGCTGGGG